GTCGGCGCCGGATTGGAACGTGCCGAGGAGGCAGGTGAACTCGGAGACGAAGCCGTTGAGGCCGGGCAGGCCGACGGAGGCGAGGGTGAAGAAGACCATGAAGAAGGCCCAGACGGGCATCTTCTTCGCGAGGCCCCCCACTTCGTCGAGCGATCGGGTGTGGTAGCGCTCGTACATCATGCCGATGCAGAAGAAGAGCGCGCCGGTGGAGAGGCCGTGGTTGATCATGTAGAGGACGCTGCCGCCCATGCCGACGATGTTCAGCGCGACGAGTCCCAGCACGCAGAAGCCGAGGTGGCTGACGGAGGAGTAGGCGACGAGCTTCTTGACGTCGCGCTGCGTCCAGCAGATGAGGCCGGCGTAGATGATGCCGATGATCGAGAGGATCGCGATGGGCACGGCGTACTCGACGATCGCGACGGGCACGAAGGCCAGGACGAAGCGGAAGATCGCGTAGGTGCCGAGCTTGAGTAGGACGCCGGCGAGGATGACGGAGCCGGCGGTGGGCGCCTCGGTGTGCGCGAGCGGGAGCCAGGTGTGCACCGGGAAGAGCGGGACCTTCACGGCGAAGCCGGCCATCAGCGCGAGCAGGACCCAGGCCTGCTGGGATGCGGACATGGCGTTCGCGGCGTCGCGCATGGTGTCGAAGGCGAAGGACCACTCGCCGCCGTTGAGCGTCGAGGCGAACCACGCGACGTAGACGAGGCCGGCGAGGGCGAAGATGGAGCCGGTGAAGGTGAAGAGGAAGAACTTGGTCGCGGCCTTGACGCGGTTGGTGGATCCGTAGAGGTGGATCAGGATGAACATGGGGACGAGGGTGAACTCGAAGCAGATGTAGAAGAGGATGAGGTCGCGGGCGGCGAAGACGCCGATCATGAAGCCCTGCAGGGCCATGAGCCAGGCGTAGTACGTGCGGACGCGGGAATGGATCGCGGAGAAGGAGCCGAAGACGCAGAGCGGCGCGAGCAGCGCCGTGAGCGCGATGAGCCAGAGGGCGATGGAATCGACGCCGACGGAGAACTCGATGCCCAGCGCGGGGAGGAAGCTGATCGAGTTGGCGAACTGGTATTCCGCGCTGTTCGCCCAGTCGAAGGTGAACATCGCGCCCATCGTGGCGACGAAGAGCAGCACCGACGAGACGGTCGCGATGAGCTTGGCGCGCTCGGTCGGATTGAACGCGATGGCGAGCGCGGCGATGAGCGGGATGGCGATGAGCGTGAAGAGCATCAGAGGATGACGATCCAGAGGATGAGGGCCAGGACCGCGAGACCCGCGGCCATGCCCGTGGCGTAGTTCTGCAGGACGCCCGACTGGCTCGGGCGGATGGCGTTCGCGCCGAGGCGCGGGAGCTTGCCGAAGAGGTTGACGAGGCCGTCCACGAGCATCGCGTCGATGAAGTAGAAGAGCAGCGCGAGGGCCTTCAGCGGCAGGCGGATGACGAGGTCGTAGAACTCGTCCACGTACCACTTGTTCTGCGCCCACTTGGGGATGGGGCCGAGGAAGGGCAGGAGCTTGTCCGCCATGGCGGTCTCGGCCTGCTTGCGGCCGTGCAGGTGCAGGACGTAGGCGATCGCGATGCCGATGAGGCCGACGACCGCGGAGAGGTAGTACATGAGCTTGTGCGGGTCGCCGCCGAAGAGGGTGCCGCCGTGCGCGCCGTGGTCGTCGCCGTGGTCGGCGGCGTGCGGGTCGGACGCGGTGTGGACGATCTCCGCGCCGCTCGCGATGGGCGCGATGGCGTGATCATCGTCGCCGTGGTGGCCGTAGGGGGAGACGTAGTGCGCGCTGGAGTCGTGGACCATGTTCCCGACCCAGCCGTGGTTCGCCTTGTCGGAGAAATACAGGCCGATGGCGAGGAAGGAGCAGACGGCGAGGATCACGAGGACGGAGTTGATGGCCCAGCCCGGCGCGTGCGGGTGGAACCCCCCGGAGCCGCCGTGGTCGTCTCCGTGGTCAGCGGAGTGTGCGTGGTCGTCGTGTCCGTGGTCGTCGTCTCCGTGGTGCTCGTCGCCGGGGTGGTACTCGACGGGGCCCATGAAGACGCGGAAGTAGACGCGGAAGGTGTAGTAGGCGGTGAGGCCGGCGGTGAGGACGAGGATCCAGCCGATGTCCTGGTTGCTCGCGCCGATGCCGGCGACGGGCGTGACAAAGGCCTCGGCCATGATCATATCCTTGGACCAGTATCCCGCGGTGATGAGCGGGAAGCCGGCGAGGTTGAGACAGCCGACGAGCATGGTGATGCTCACGATGCCCCAGCCCTTCATCTTGCCGAGGCCGGAGAGCTTGCGGAGGTCGAGCTGGCCGGCGAAGCCGTGCATCACGGCGCCGCAGGCGAGGAAGAGCAGCGCCTTGAAGAAGGCGTGGGTGAAGAC